CTCTGCCCCAGGCTTCCTGGAATCAGCTGCTGATCAGTTTCAGCAGCAGCTGACTTGGGGACGCCTGGGGTTCTTAAGTTGATTCTGTATGTAAGTCAGAACTGGCGGTCAGTTTCAGCAGCGGCTGAATCTGGACCCAGTTCCGACTTACATACAGATTCAACTTAAGAACAAACCTACAGTCCCTATCTTGTACGTAACCCGGGGACTGCCTGTACACAGAATAATCCCAGGGTACACCTCAGACATTTTACTACTAAAATGTCGGAGTTTTATTAACAAAATACGTTTTTTTTCCTAGAAGAAAAACAAAAGTAAAAACTGCTTTTCAAATGGCCAAGTTGGTGAAGGACATTTGGGTTGAATATTAGGGAAAAAATCCTATCAAGGTGGTTAACCACATGAATATATTGCATAGGGAGGTTATGGAACCTCCATCACTGGAGATTTTTAAAAGCAGGTTAAAAAAAATAATAATCAGGGGTGGTCTAGCTAATACTTAATCCTGCATGAGTGCAGGGTGCTGGACTAATGAAATCAAGGTCCTTTACAGTCCTATAGTTCTAGGATTTATATAAAACACAGACTAAAGGAGGTATGCCAAAGAGCAAAATAGAAACAGTCATGTAGCTACTGCCTAAAAACAGGACTATGGCAGATACTATAGCTACTGTCTAAAAACAGGCCTATGGCAGATACTATCTGCCGCCAACCACATAGCAAAGCCCCAGAATCAGAAATCCCCTCAGAATCATGCTGGATTCAGCCGAAGTCTTCTCTACCTAACATGGACACAAAATTTAGCAAATTAGCCCGTGTTAATAGTTGAGAAAAAATAGTTTGACAGAGACCCATTCTCCAGCACTTGAGATTAAAGCTCAAAATAACAATTACCATATTGGCATGTAACAAATACTCAGCCAGTGCCCTGTGTGCAAAGGTAACAAGGCAGCATGTCAAACTGAAGCATTAGAAAAAAATCAATAGAGAACAAATAAACAAGATCACTCAGGTTCCCTGGTGATACTAGAATATGGAGTCCAGCAGTTTTTCAGGAAACATGGTTCCCTGACATTTTAACATTAACACAGCAAACGGTATTATGGAAAAAGCCTCTCAAAACCATTTATAAAGCCACCACCACTAGAACTACTCTTAAGAATTTCATAAAAAGAGAAGTTTCTTCTGGTTCAATCCTGTGTTTCTAGATTATTTTATTATAACTAGGGTTTATTTCAGTAGCTAAACGTGTTTGATGTAGAGATATTTTAGGATGGAAACTTGCAAAGGGTTAAGGGTGTGTGCGCTATGGTCTATTTTTCATAAGCCTCACATGAGCTGTGCTTGCCTCAGCAATTTTATTAATCACTAGATTTACACACTTTGTAGGATGAATAAAAGAAAATCAATTCGCTTGGACATACACAAGTTATTCTCTCCCAGCACGTGTACAATCTTTAACATTGCTTGTTGTTTTCTTTGACTTTTCCACACACAATTTTAAAGCACTAACTATTCTAAGAACTGGCTTAATTTTGATCACTAGTGGCCCCTATTCATAGTTAGCCATGCTAAACTATGGAATAGGTTTTAGACTATGCCTATGACTGACCTACAGTGGGGGAGGGGGGTGAAAATCAATCTAGAGATTTAAAAACTCACTACTGTGATGTGAGACTAGAGAACATGCATGTCCTCTAAATTAATCTGGTTTGTGTTTTAGTTATACACAAAAAACAGCAGCATGGAAACCAACATTTTCAAAGCAAAGTGCTTAGAGTTCTGATATTTAAATAGGTAGGCATGTTTTTCTGAAGTTTTGGTGATTATTTGGTGACTATGTCCCCCTCCCACAAATGATGGCAATCTTCATCCTTCAGAGCACAAGCCTGTTACATGTGAAACCAGGAAAGATTTGTCCCTATTAGATGTCACAAAATTTGCACATACTTCCACGTGAGATAAAGGGAAATAGTGAATGGCTAACCTCCTGAAGCACTCGCTATTAGCCATTCCTAGAGGCAAGGTAATTAATTGAAAGGATAAATTGTATGTTCTGGCTTAGCTACAATGTTCCATGCTTTTGTGAGAGGGAATGTGGGTTTCATTTGTTTGCAAGTAGGGAATAGTCCCCTGGATGAATTGTTTTGGTTAGAATACTTCAGAAAATTACCAAAATATTGCTTGTATTGCAATAGGATAAGACATTCCCAGATATTGAACTTTTAAGCATATCATAATCCCTTATCTACAGGACAAGAGAAGCTGAACCTGCCTTTAATCCCATGCCAAAGTCCTAAAACAATAACTGAGTCCAGAACAATGAATATCTCCATTTCTATTGGTGCTGATGTGGGTCACTAGTTAGCAGGAACTTTATTATAAACTTTCAACCTTCTGAGGCTGTGCAGAACTCTTGGATGGCTGAGAGCACATACTGTCCATGGATTACTGTGTGAGTCTTCTCTTCCCACCCCCCACCTCTGCAAAAGGCAGATGTTGGATCTCTGAACTAAAACTATGTTCTGGCCCATTAAATGGAAATCCTTCATTACTGCTACCCAGCACTGGGGAAGCAGTAATATTTATGAAGCCCAGCTATCCAGAAGCACAAATTCAGACAGGGCCCCTCACAGCACCCATGCCCTTCCCACTTCCTATCCATTTTGTTATGCACAGAATAAGTCCATTCATATACAAATCATTTTTCAACTCTGCTCCCAGCAATAAGTCCATTTCTTCTAATTTTTGCCATTTTGTATCTGGTCTTTTCTTCTCATGTACTCTTTCCAAGTGCTAAGAGACATGTGCTGTCAACAGACTAGTGCTGCTGCCGGCTATTGCTTTGGCTAAACTGATCCGTCCCCCTCCATGTTTTGTGCACAATTGGGTGTTCTAGGGACTCGTGGAAAAAAGGGATAAGCAGCAGCAGGCTGGCTGCTAGCAGCTCCTTCAGAAGCTAACTGTCACCACTGCAAGCAGTTCTAACTCCAGATGCTGAAGAGTCAGCATTTTTCCTTACCATTTAATTCCATTTCCCCCCTACCAGTACTGAAATGAAGGAATCAGCAGGATCCTATGGAAAGCAAAGAGCCTGAAATTTGACCTAGGGACTAGTGCCCCATCTAGAAAACTGAAGAGCAATGGGCTTCTATTTTGTAGAAACAAAACTAAAGGAGATTATGGATCAACACACTCAAAGCTGTACAATTGCTAAGGGCTGGTGACAGTGGTAGAGACTACACTACTACCCTGAATTTTTACCCTTTTCTGCCTTCCCTCCCCCTCCACCTCACCACCTCCTGTACACACTGCCTTCCTCCCACCCCATTCTACCCTTCCCTCTTCACTCAGGGAATTCTGCTGTTTCCCATTCACCCTGCAGCTACTGATTTGTATTACAGGTTGTATCACCCTTAACTGGGACTCTAGTCCAGCAACATCTGTGGTCCGGCATGGACCACAGATGTTCCTGAACCACAGAGCCCAGGAACTAGGAGGTCTGGCAGGAGGGCAAGCGCACTGTACAGGGCATTTGGAAGGGGGAGAAGTACAGGCAGGCAGCACAGCAGGGAGTTCTGGTAGTGGCTGGGGAGCTCTGACTCCAGAAGTAGCCAGGGAGTTCTAGCCCCAGCTCCAGCCCCATTCTGGCTCCTGTGATATGGGAGCTTGAGTCCCGGGGGCAGCCAGGAAGCTCCAGCCCCAGCTGTAGAGCTCCAGCCACGGCATTCTGGCCCTGACAGCAGTGGAGCCCTAGCCCTGTGGCAGCTCAGGCCAGGAGGGGAGGGGCCTTCCCTGATCCGGCAAATACCCTCATTTGGAACCAGTCAGGTCCAACCTATATTTCCTGGCTGCTTTCTTAGCAATCTGACATACAAATAGCATGGTGAAGTTATTAAGAAGTGTGTGTTATAATTCAGAAAAACCATGTACAGAAGTGGTGCATGTTCTCGGATCCCTTTTTATTGGGGTAACCCAGAAGATTGAGACTGGCCCTGCACCCAGCTGAGGAAGAGAAGGAGTTGTGGTGAATGGTGGGCCCAACTTCACTCTCCCATCTCATGTAGGTCCTGGCATTTGCAGGCTTCCCATCTTTCACAGAATAAAATTGATTATTGCCCCAGGGCACAATGCTGCAGCTGCTAAATGAGCACTGTATTCTCTGGTTACATATCCCATGGGAATGGCACTAATTAAGGTGCCGGAATGGAGTCCCAGCTTTCAAGCCCCTCTGCTGAGAGTAGGAGGGAGTTCCTGCTGTAGGCTTCCCACACAGACACTAAAAGCATGGGTAAAGGGGGTGGGAGAAGGAGGGGAATTCCCAAGATGCCTAAAGCTGATTGTGTTGCTGCTCTCTGGTGCTTTCCTGCTTGAAGGCTTCCCTTAAGAGTGAACACAGGACCATTCACCCAGTGAAAATGGAAGTTGAATGTAGGAAAAAAGCCCCGTGGGAGAGAACTAGAAACAACCAGCACATTCAGAGTCTGCACTGTCTCCAGTCATTTGAAGACTTATGACCCTCACATGTTGGAATCACTGCTCTGCATATATTGTGGCCTTAGATTTCAAAATGCAACAAGTTGGTACAATGAAGATACCCTAAGGCACTACTCAGATCTCTGGGTCTCCTATTTGGAACTCTGGAAGAATCAATTAGCCTTCATTCTTAGAACAGACATCTAAGATTGGCAGCATTGTCAGAAAATTGGAACAACCTTTAATACATCTTGAGGTCTCCTGCTGTTATGTAAAGAATTGCTCTATTCAGTTATACAAAGAGAGATGGGATTAGACTTAGAGGAAGGCAATTTTTATTCTCTTTTTTTTCCTTCTTAAAAGAGCAACTTGGAGAATATAAACTACTTGTGCCTTTTGGAAAAAGAGAGAACAGTCCACCAAATACAGTTTTTTTTTTATTGACATCCTCAATGCTACAAAGAGAATTTAAATGTGTAAATATTTTGGGACTAAGAGGCTGTCTCTACACAGCAGCTTTATTCCAGAATAATGTAGTGTGTCTACAAAGCAAGCCCATTATTTCAAAATAAGTTCAAAATAACGGGCTTCTTACTCTTACTTCTGTAGCCCTTATATGTAGGGTAAGAGAAGTCGGGGGGGGAAGAGTGCTCCATTTTAAAACAGCTGTGTAGACAATGCCAAAAGCCAAAATAAGCTATTTCGACTTGAGCTACGCTAACTGTGTAGCTTAGGTTGCTTAACTTATTTCGAGTTTAGCCCTGCTGTGTAGATTTGCCCAGAATGAGCTGGAACTATTTCTCTATCTGTAATTTAGTGTATGAATTTTCAGCTGCATGATGGCTGAAATTAAAGTGAAAAACTGCAAACTTTTGTTTTTAAACATTAACACTTTATTATATTTTCTCAGCAGGATTCAATATAGTAATATAACAAGAGATACAAAATATCATGTTCTTTTCTAATTATTCAATAGCTCAGAGTGCCACAAATTTGTGGAAAGATCACCACAGAAAGCAAAATAGCATTTTACTATAAAAGTATTTCTTTAAATAAAATTTTGAAGTTACTCTAAAAGAGGCTTTGTTTTAAGATTGTGTCCTGGAAGTGTCCCACCCCAAACGCTGTACATTGAGCCATTAATCAGGCCACAGTGATCCCGATTCCAGTGCTATGCAGTTGGACAGCTAGCCACACTTGTTGAATTCTCTGATCCCATGTTCACATCCTTTGGTTTTCAGGTCACACCGGGAACACCTATATTTGCAAAAGCAGAAACTCTAGAGTGTTTTGAGAGCTTAATAGCCAAAACAGTTTACAAAACAGAGTAAGACTACCATACACTTTAGAAGTTACTGAGAAGGACTTTGTTTAAAACTCCCCCAAACATATGTAGATTTCTTTGTAAAGGATCTCCTCACATGGCACAAGAAATAAGCATGATCTAAATTCAGGACTTCATCTGTAAGTCTAGGTCTACAGTATAGGGTTTTTTTCTGGAAAAAATCTACACAAATTGCGCTTCACAATTTGCATAGCTTTTTCCAATCACTTTTCTAAAAGATGCTTTTCCACCATTTGGCCCAGTCTAGACAGGGCCAAATGGTGGAAAAGCCTCCTCTTTCAGCAGAGCCCTTATCCCTCATAGAACGAGATATACAGGGCTACCCGAAAGAGTGCATTTGCTATTCTGCAAAAAAAAAAAAAGCAGATGAGCAAACGCATTCCTAGGATGTAGTGGAGTTTTTCTGGGATACCCTAAGAGACCAGTTCCTCACCCTAAACAGGGCTCTATTGACCATGGCAGTTTTTCAAGTCACAAGAGCTATTCTTGATTTGACCTGCAGGGACTGGAGCTGATTGACAAAAGGCACACTCCCCTGCTATGAAATGAATTCACTGCATCTGCAGCATTCTTGACCCCTGCTAGGTTAGAGACCCTAGAGCAAATCTGAGCTTCAACCTCGGCTGTCTAGCATCCTAGAACACTGAGTTAGCACAGGGCTATCATGTTGGTGCCACAAAGTTTGTTATTTGCATCAGATAAATCATTTGTTAATGTCATCTGCTTCACAAGACGGAAGTCCAAAGCAGGTGCCCACTCTTTGGAAAGTATAAAGAGAATACATTTAGAAGCTGCACTATGTGGTGAAGGCTTGCTGAATAATTCTATTTTGATCTACAGTGCAACCTTCCTCTCCTTCCCTCCCACCCCAAACCCTGCCCCCCATCTCCCGCCACTGCTACTATGTAGGTTTTAGCCAGGGTTTTTAAAATAAACATTAAAAAAAGGCGGCTGCACAACATTCCAAGAGAAAGCATAACACTGAGCTCTAGAATGCTGCATTGCGGTTAAAAATCAGAATATCCACAATGACAACTGGATACTTCAGATAAAGTTCTAGCATTTTAAAAAATTACTAAAACCATTATATGATACTATCATTTTAACTTGTTTACTTTGTAAATATTTTAAGAATACAGGTTTTAAATATTATTGTACAACCAGCCACGGTAATTTCTTCTGTTGCATGCTTCAGGCTAACATGACCTTTTATTAAGTACTGAGCAATGTGTATGTGTGATATTTTCACCTACGATATTCTATATTGACAGAACCATTTGATTACTTGGTACACATTACTTTTTGTATCTTATGGATTCACTACACCTAGCTGTTCCCAGTTACAGAATGCCATTCATTTTCCAGATTCATAACTCTGGATAATAGTGCCTTAACTGAAACAGAATGGAAGATCAATTGTAAATTATCCTCAAACTCCTGAAAGCCTGTTATCCACAGGACAGGCTGGTATAAGAATTTGAAATCAGACTGCACTTTTAATGCACTACATTTTCCAATGTGCTTTATAAGTAGCTAGGGAATAGTAAGGCAGTCCAGTGATATGTCAAGTAAAGCTGCAAATTTGTGTTCACCAGTGAAACTCACCATTTCCCCCACCACACTCGAAAAAGATTAGCTAGGGTACCAGTTCACTACTCATTTCAAACAAAAGCGGTGGCATCTTTTGCCTCCCTCCTGGCTGTGCAGGTGAAAGAGAGAACTGATTTTGTGATTTTCCCCTCAAAAGGATGGAACCTGGCTCTCTTAAGTAGCTTGTTGTTGGATCATTAAGTTGGAGATTCACCCTCTGAAGTTTGGCTACACAGCAGGGCTTAACTCGAAATAAGTTATACAAATTGACTACATCAATTGCATAGCTTATTTTGAAATTGGGAGCATCTACACAGCACTTATTTCAAAAGAGAGCACTCGTCCTCTGACTCCCCTTACTCGTCATACAATGAGGGTTACAGGAGTTGGAGTAAGTAGTCCTCCAGCTTTACAGTATTTCAACATTTCAAAATATCTGCACGCTGTGTAGATGCAGACTAAGTTATTTCAAAATAACGTTGCTGTGTAGATGTACCCTGAGAGACTGAACACAGCCACTGGCCTGGAATACAGAATCCTTTATTCTGAATTATATTATATATATAAAGAATTATATTACACCAACATAGACCGATGCACAGATTCAGTGAAAGACTTGAGATTTCTGGGTCTCCAGGTCTGACAACTGGCTGATAGTAGGGATGTAAAAATCCCATTTAATTGGCTTTAGCGGTTAACCGATTAACACATGTCCCCATGTGCTTTAAGAGATTTAAGGAGAGCAAGCGGGGGGGAAGGAGGGGAAGAGGAGGCGGGAGGGGAGAGAAGGGGGAGGGATGCTCCAGCCTGGCTGAAGCAACCCCCTCCTCCCCACCTGCCACTGGGCTGGGCTGCCCTCCTCCTCCACCCCTCACCACAGGCAGGGGCTGCTCCAGCCCAGTCAGAGCAGCCCCTGCTGCAGGGCACCCAGGCCCACCACAGACAGAGGCTGCTCTGCAGGATGACAGAGCAGCCCCTGCCTGCAGCAGGCCCCCTGTGGGACTGGAGCCCCACCAGTCAACCTTAACTGGTAAGCCTCACCTGATAACTGGTTAACCCTTCACATCCCTAGCTGGCATTTCCTTCTTATTCCTAATGTGGAAGAAGAGGTTAATCAGTTTCCCCCTCCCCACTTCTGTTGGAAAGATAAGGATACTTACCTACCTCTAAAAAGGTTTTAGAAGAAGCAGTTAATACTACCGAGGTGCTACATATAGTCATAAAAATTATCTTACTGTTGGTCTGTCAGAGAGGTTTCCTTGTCGGATATATTCTATAGCAGCCTCAACAGAGGTCAGGCAGTATCCCAATTCATCCTTTGCTGAACTGCAAAACCTGAAGTTTTTGATGTAACTCAAATTTGCCATCCTAAAATAAAAGGAAAAAAACCCACTAATCCTTAAGGATTCATAAAGGTGCTGAGAGAGGCGTATTTTTAATATTGCTACTCGCTCTGTTTTACTCAGAGGAGAGATGTGAATGGAACAAGAGGCCAGTTCAGTGTCTCTCCTAACAGGGAGCTATCAGCAATACTGACAGACCCCGAGTTGTTCTGAGCTCTGGGGGAGGATGACAAAGGCACACCCTCTGCTGCCCCCCACCCAGTTGTGCCACCCACTTGAGTGATGTGATCCACACTGAGAATCTCTTCTATGTAAAGGAAACGAAATAATAAATTAAATTATGTTTTGGCTTATTGCAGTATTTGTTTGAAAATGAGAAGAAAATGGAGAACAGAAAAAGCTGAACCAATTGTCCAGGAAGGGGAAATAAGAGCTTATACACAAAATGCCCTTCGACTGCAGTATGAAAGAATGAAGAGCAATGCAAAATCTGGGTACATTTAGCATTCAATATGGACACATTTTCATGGATTCTGAGATAGAATTTAGCACTATGATGCTTGAAAACATCAACTACTCGATTTGTTGATAAGGGGGGTACTCACTGCCCCAGCTATGGCTCTGCAGTTTAAATGTAGTCCAGCTCCTACTACATTTCAACTGCAGAGCCGCAGCAGAGTTAGCTCTCAGGGGCAGTGAGAGCCGGAACTGAATAGTCTTAGCTCATGCCAGTTCTGGGATGCTATAGTTTGCCTCCCGATGACCCCCTCTGCACCATGGAGATGGTGGAAACCAGTTTGTAAGCAGGCACCCACTTCCCCCTGCTTGCTGCCTCTGACACAGTGGGGGGCGGGGAAGAGAAGCGAGTAGTTGACTTGACTACCCGATAAGCATGCACTTACCAGGTAGTCGATTCATGGATTCCTCCCTTACATCCCTAGTCCTGCGGTGGGTAGGAAATCCAGCCCTGGGGAGCCCCAGCGGCAGCTGAGAGGAATCCCTAGCCCCAGCCGGGAACCCAGGCGGCAGTAGGGCCAGCAGCGGCAAACAGAAAGCCCCAGTGGAGTGTGGCTGGCAGTTGCTGGTGGGAAAACCCAGCCTGAGGAGGCTTAATCTAGGTGCCCCGGCATAGGGCCAGCAGTGGAGAGGGAAACCCAAACATCAGGGATGCCCACATCCCAGAGAGAAGCCTTGACCTCCCCTGGTCCAGCAAACTCCCTGGTTTGGGACTGCTCAGGTCCAGATTGTGCCAGACCAGGTACCTTCATGGATACCAGGGTTAGAGATTAATAGTATGTTAGATATTAGCAGTAAATAGTTACGTTAATTTTAGCAACATTCTAGTTACATTCTCCCTTGGGATACTGATTATTACTAGGTGTTCCATGCCTTTGAATGTCAAGTTCCCCAGGAGCTACACAGGGAATTGAGGATGGATTTCTGTCTACTTTGAGACAGATAAAGTCAGGAATTTTGGTATGAAATCAGCCCAGACTGAAGATGGGTCACATGAAGAAATCCAGAAGGGGAAAAAAACAAAACAAACAGCATTTGATGTGTGATGGGAGAGCTATAAAAAGGGGAGGGAATGGAAGCAATGGTTTACAGCTTTTCTAGTGAGTAAAGACAAGCGAGTTCCTGTTTGAGTGTTAGGTTTGAAGGGATCTTTGAGAAACTGTTCGGGTTTTTTTTAACAGTCTAGCAGAAACCATATCTTGTAGGGACAGCTGTTTCTAGAATCATCTATATTTTTAATTTATGCAGCAATATTATGTGCCAATCACAGATAAGTTTGTACAGTAAAAGGAAACTGTTACATACCAGTTTGGAATCTCTGTTTTTACAAGCAGATACAGCAAAACAGAGAGAAGATCATCTGCACACATAGTCTCCATGTTAACTGAAGGAAATAAAAGTTTATAGGAGGAAAATCTTTAAGATAAGTCACAATATGCCAAAAGGTAAGAGCCAGGATTGAATGTGGATTTTAAATATTATCGTTTTCTGACACTCATTTCAGATAGAAAGGCTACTGGCATCTTCTATGGATGTTATCAGCAGGATCCAGACCCATGCAACAGACCATGCACTTTCCAGGGTAACCCAAGCAGGCCAGCCTATTCAAGAACTGTCTGCTTATGGTAAAGTGGAGTTACAGCTGCCAAACTCCTCCCTTACAAGACAAAGAAGTGTCTGACTCTAGGGTTTAATATAACTACTCACCCCAAAAAGCCACACACAGCTCTACAAAGGACAGACCCACAACCAATGAGCATTCTTTTAAAAACAATTTGAATAATTAATATCTGAGACAGGGAGGACAGGAGAGGCATAAACTATGGAAATTTAGTATCCCCTGTTCACTAGAGAAGGAGATTCTTACTTTAGCCCCATTACTGAATTTTGGCAGTGTCACATCAAACTGTATCTGACTTCAAGAGGGCCATGTTTTATTACTGGGAACTCAATTTCACATCTTCAATGGATTAACAAAAGGCATCAGGCAATAGTGGGAACATCTATCTTCCAGGATTTGCCTGTTGTGCAAATAAAATATTAAGGGTCTGGTTTGCAGACTATTAAGTACATGAATTTTATATCTAAAAATAATGCAAATTAAAAGTCAGTGAGGGTACGAAAAGTGAAATACATGTGCCACATTAATTAGCAGATCATAGTTTTGAATACTAACCTCTTTGGCTAGGAGACTGCATAATAGTTTGCACCACTTTTCGAAGACACATCAGCTTCTGTTGTGGGGAGGTGCATTTATTCAGCTGACCCAATTCTCGCTTTGCACGTGGAATATTAAAGCTATAAAATAGTTTTGAAGAATAAACACCTTACTATTCAACCCAGATTTAGGAGATGCACAAAGTAAGTGAATATGCAATTATTCATGTTATTGCTGAAATTTTTTAATTCAAGCCCAAGAGGCAAGCACACTTCTGCACACTCATGGAATCTGAGGGATTTGCATGTTTCAACAAAAACGTGGGACCTGTTCCAAATGTTGAGCACAAGTGCCAACTCCACGGGTGCTGCAGCATCTCTGGAAAAAAATAGTGGGTCTTCAGCAACTACCAGCTGTCCCCCTCTATCCTCCGCCCACCCAGGTACTTCTCCCTAAAGGTCATCAGCTGTTCAGCAGTGTGCAAGAGGCATTAGGGTGAGGAAGCGCAAGGGCAGGTCACACTCAGGAACAAAACGGGGCAGGAAGGGGGTGGGAGTGGGATCTGGGGCAGAGAGGAGGAAATTTAAAATACCAGAAGCAATGAGCAATCAAAAACCAGTGGGACAGCTTCAAAAGCCTCAAAGTGCCCTCAGAGCCTTTACTTATCTATCTTTGGAAAAATGAGAATATATTTGCAGGGGCAAGTGTAGAAAGAAATCACATTCCCTCCCCTGAAGTAGTGAGCAGATTTGGAGGAGTGATTTATTTAACTTCAATCCATTCCTCATTAAGTTTCTCATAATGCAACTCACCTGAATTCAGACTTAACACCAATATCTTTTTGCTGGAGATCTTGGAGACTTCTTGTAATTTTATTAAAGGCTGCATCCTAATCAGAAAATAAAACAGTATTTTTAGAAGATGTACAAAGCTTGTCTATCAGTCCTGTTTAGACTACTTATATTCAGAAAAAAAACAACCTTACCTCGCTTGCCTCAATAGTTCCCACATATTTAAAGATCAGATCATAAATATCATGATGTATATACATCTAGGGAATAAACACCAGAGTTTAGGAAAGAAGGGGGGGGAGGGGAGTTAAAAAAAAAAAAAGATAACCCCCTTATGTTTTTCCTAGCCTGAGATACTTACTTCAACTGCTTGTTTCATCAGATTCATCTGAGGTTCCTGCTTTGAAAGCATCCTCTAAAAGATCAGGAAATGTCTATATTGAGTTAAATACATTAAGCAATAGGCAGCTATTTTCACTGTACAGATTTATTTCAAGTAGTGCTTACCAAGTGAGAATCCCTCAGTAACTGCTGGAGGCATTTGGTGTAAAGTGCATTAACTGAATCCTGGGACAAAAAGAAAACAAAATCAAGACATGAGATTAAGTCACTATGTTACCCAAATAGGAGCAATGCGATTCTAGAACTCAGACAAATTCTATTTATATTACTAAAGCAAGTAGTCCCATTCAATTAGGAGGACTTACTAAAGTGCAGAGACAAGCAACATTTGATTTAAAAATTAAAAAGCAAACTGCCGTAATCTTTTACCACTAAATACCCCACATTTTCACAATTCTATTTATAAAATATTTTGTGACATGAAAAGCTTTAATAAGTAATTAATTCACTTCTTGAATTTATTTTGGGTACACACATTGTATCAAATTCTAAGTTAGCAAAAGTTAGAAGTGAGATACTGACTATGTAGTGTCGTAAGCTTTTTCTTTCGTGATCTTTAAAAGTCCTATGGAAAGAGGCAATGTATTTGTCAAATCTCTCAGAATGCCTTCCCAAAAATTCTCTCACATCCTCAATGTTTTTCAAGGAATAAGAATGTGACGGGGTTGTAGATTCTGCTGTAATGAAAGTTAGTAGTTAGTGCATCAGAAAGCATCCAGGTTCTTTTCCCACCTACACTGCAATATCTGCTAATTTATCTAGGCAACTTAACCATCACCTACAGCCAAAGTAAGTTTGGGCATAAGCAAGCTCAGCTCTCATTCCTCCAAAAACAGACCTTAACCTTGCAGTCTTCTTCTGCTCTTCTAAAGAAGGCATAATAAATAACTGGATAAAAGAAGCACTCCTTATTAAGGGGAGTTATTTTCAGAAGCCAAATTAAGGTTTATGATTTGATACCATATAGGACTAAATCAGACTCATTTAAAAACTTCTTGTTCAAATCCAGTTTTCACACTTCCTTCCCAGTTAATAGTCCACTTTCCCTAATGACAGTTTCATTTATAGTTTACACCACATCCTCTGCAAAACAAAATACTAAAATACTTTTATTCTAAGTCTGTTTAGCATTTTTAGAAACTTCAGTTTAGCTATTTAATTTTACCTTTGGTGAGCAATGACGACTTGCCAAAACTCTGCAAGAAGACTACATGTACATGCCAGGATAACTGCTTTAAAGCAGTTACCCTGGCAATCCCTAATCTTACTTGCAATATTTCAGTTGCAGAGCAGGAAAGTCTTTTGACCCTGATCCAGATCAAATGCAGCCAGTTTAAAAGGTAAGAATTAAAATATTCTAATGCTGAAGTATGGCATTATCAAAAGAAAAGCTGCTACAAAAATGGGTATCAAAATTCTAAAGACAGCAAATGGCCACAAAAAGCATACCCTCATGTCAAGATCACAGTAGAAAGGGGAACCACCATTAATAATGAGATGCAAGTACTAGTTTTAAACTATCAGATGACCTGATAAATTCCATATTGCATTAAAAAAATCAAGTATTGCACAGAACTGACTTTCCAATATTTCAAATTAAGACCAATTAAAATACAATTTTATTAAGTCTTATACTACATAAGCCTTGGCTTTTTTTTTAAATGCCTCTTTTCTAGCTACACTATCAATAATGGTAGCATGCCAATTAAGAGAGAAACCATGAGTTTTCAAAGTAGTGCTTTGTAAGAAACTTATAACCATATGGAGCCCTATAAAAAGAGGGCTTCTTTGTTGCACAGTGAAGCAGACCAACTCGTGATGTGTTCCTGGCATTTCTGAACACACCTAAGATTTCAGATTCTTCCAGAGGATGAGCTATACACAATATGCTAAAACTTTCTTCTTTTTCATTGTAGAATGTTTCCTCAAAGAGAACAGGTACTGAGAGATGATTATTAAAACCAGTTCCTAAAATAATCAAGTTTCCCTGGATGAAGATTTCCTGAAATTAAGAAAAGAGAAACAATAATATTGAACAGAAAAATAAGTTGACAATTGTAATACATAGTTCTCCATTCTAAAGAAAAGACTATGGTATTTGCTAGACCAAAAGTGACCATTAAATGGTGTTTTTGGGGAGGCAGAGACTTTCATATTCTCCTTGTTTCAACAAGTTGGTGCTACAGGAAGTGAGGTTTTTTTAAAAAATCCTCTTTAATGTTGGATGATCTTGTGTTTCCCCCACACAAGTTTGTTCTCCACTGCATTATTCATTGAAGGAAATTCAGACAAGATTCAGAAGTGAGTAGGATGCCCAAATTTTTAGTTCAACTTGAACCTTAAAAAGGGACCAATTTTGAGAATATGCCATAAACACATTTTCTAACCAGTCATACTCCTTTAAAAGCTACCTTGAATCTTTAAATTTCTATCAACTGCTCAGTCAATAAGGGGGAAACTGAAGAGCCGCAGCAGTGTTAGCTCCCGGCCTCAGGAGCTAACCCTGTTGCAGCTCTGCCTTTTAAATGTAGTAACAGCCGCCTGGCTCTTACTACATTTAAAATGCTGAGGCACAGCAGTGGAACTGCGTGTGAGCTGGGAAACAGATGTCCCGGCTCGCACATGGTCCCAAACGCTGTGCTTCTGCTTTAAAAGCATTTAAAAGGCAGAGGCACAGCAGGGGACCAGCCACTCGCACCCAGTCCCCCACTGCACCTCTGACTCCCCTCTCCTCCCATGGAGACAGTGCTGGGGGGAGCCAGCTTTTAAGCCAGCTCCCGCTCCCCACCCTTGCTGCCTCTGATTGGGGGCAGCAAAGGAAGGAGGGGGACACGACTAGTCAAGTAGTCATTTGACTACACAATGAGCATATCCTTATCGGGTAGTCAACTACGTAACTAGCTGCTTACATTCCTACCTGGGATCACTAAAGTTTGGTCTCTCCCTTTTTATTCTATCCACCAAATATGTAGTAATATGTATTAACAAGGGAATACCTTTCCATTTAAGGTTTGAAATTTTTCCTCCACTGGTTTTAAAATATAGGAATCATATTGGCAAGTAGAGAGACTGCTGCTTGAAAAGCTCCCTTTGCACGGTACCAATATCTGGAGTAAGAATAAATCAGTCAGTCACATGAATCATAGGAAGAAATTCAGTGTACCAATTGCTTCCATGTCAAACCACACTTTTGTTCTCTGTGTTCCTCATCAAGCCATCTATTTCAAACATGTACTGTATCATACCAGTGATATCATTTGACACTCCATGTATATAAATTTACATTTGTAATAAGAAAAAGAGCTCATAATCAAGATTCCTGCTCAATACCTTGGAAAGTCACAGAATAAAAAAAAAAAAAAAAAATATACAGCTTTTCAATCAGCTGCAGGAGATTGGCTCGATATACTCTGATCATCTCCTTAATATAGCAAGTCGGGGACAGTTCAAGCATGTTGTATCCAAAAGGAAAGGCAGATGAACGTGTTGCTTTTTTGCATCATCACTAGACAGACAACTAGTCATACGCATACAGATGCAGAATAGTGAGAGAGATACAGCCGTGTTAGTCTGGTGTAGCTGAAACAAAAGACAGAACTATGTAGCACTTTAAAGACTAGTCTTTAAAGTGCTACATAGTTCTGTCTTTTGTTTCACATGCAGATAGTCTATTGCTGATAGTTTTATATTAAATTAAAAACCTGAGACTAATTAACACTAAGCTGCTTAAGGTATTTTTTCTAGATCAATTGAAAGACCACAAGAAAAAAAGAAACCTGCACAGTAGGGCCTCCTCTCATTAACAGGTAAGTGGAGCCTTGAAAGCAGTGGTTCTCAGCCAGGAGTCTGGAGCCTTCATGGGGGCCCATGAATAAACTAAAGAGCTGAGTCAGCTAGGGATGTGAATGTCTAGTCAACTATCTGATAAGCAAATGCTTATCGGATAGTCAACACACTAGTAGATTAGTTGCT